AACAAACAAGACTCACAATTTACAACAGAATAATGCAACAAAGGAAATGAACAAATTTGAGCTACATAGATAATAATACAGATACGAGAGGAATTATCAAGATGGAAAAATACATTTAGTATAATCTCATTTACATAAAGTTTGAAAAACATTAATTTTAATAGTTGTAATTTATTACATTGGTGATAAAACTCCACAGTGAAACATATGAGTGATCATCATAACAATTGGAATAGTCAGGAGGGAGGAAATTATCAGCAAGAAGACATATATTGGGATTACCTAGATTGCTGGCAAATTCTATTTTCTGACAAAGGTGTGGTAACATCGATGTTAACGTTATAATTTTTTCTCTTTCCGTTTATTGGGTGTTATTACTCTCCATATGTATGTTATGCTCCACAATAAAAAATGTTAAAAAAGCACAAACATAAAGTACATTTCTAAGTGTAAAATTAGGGTGCTACAGCATATTCTCATCGATGCCATTGTAATTAGAGTTTTGCTGAATAAAGGAAAATAGAGCATTATGGTACTAAGAAATCCAAGTTAAAATTTAAAACTTTTCGTTTTTTATTTTGAGACAGGGTCTCACTCTGTTGCCCAGGCGATGTGCGTCCCCCTGCAGAGAGCCTATGAATGGGCGTACAGTCAGGGAGGTTTCACATCACCAAGATTCCTATCCCAGAAAAGCAGATGCTCATAGCTCTGGGAATGGAATGCAACCCTTGTGGAAAGCTTATAAACGGATGCATGGGGGGCGCCTGTCCATTTGAATAAGATACGGCTATAAACTCCTTCATCTTGTGCGGCGCTTCCAGGTCCCTTTAGGGTTAAGGCATTCTCCCTTCTGAGAATTTCTGGTCTAACCAGTTGTCTGACTTCACATCCTATTTCTATGAATTGTTTCTCACCAGCTTTTGCTGCAACTGTTACTGCTGATGAATATCTTGCTAATCATAGGTTATGGAAAGATTGTGTTCCTGTTTCAAGACTCTGTTAGAAATTAAACTTCACGTCCTGTTTCTATGAATTGTTTGTAACCAGCTTTTGCTGTAACTGTTATTGCTGTTCCTGTTTTAAGGCTCTGTTAGAAATTACTGATGCATACACTATATTGTAAATTCTTATCACTGTATACTGTACTTCTGCATACAGATGTTATGTTAAAGAATTACTTCATTCCCATGTGACCTTCTCACCTCATACTCAAATGACACTAAATCCCTCACTAACCTACCCCCGCCCTCACTAAACTTAATAATAAATGCTGGCATATCCAGAGCATTGTTGGCACTGTGGGACCAGAAGGCGATGACCCCTCTGGACCCAGCTTTCACTATCTTGTGTGTGTCTATTATTTCTCGACTTGACGATCCACCTGGGAACAGAGAGACAGCCCCGTTGCATTGCGGGCTGCTGGCCAGATCCCTCAATAAACACCCTGCTAATTTTTTCTATTTTTCGCAGAGAGAGGGTTTTGCCATGTTGCCCAGGCTGGGCTTGAACTCTTGTGCTCAGGCAATCCTCCTGCCTCAGCCTCCCAAACTGCTGGGATTACAGATGTAAGCCACCACACCTGGCCCAAAACTTTTCTTAAGTTAATTAAAAAAACGGAGACATAAGCAAGAACTGTAAATCCACCTTCTTAATGCTAACATGAATTTGAAACATCAAAATTTGAATACTTATTATTGATAGACACTTTTTTCTTATTTACAATTAAATTACTTATGATACACATTTGAAAGTGTCAGAAATTCATGAATTTCCAATTAATTATTGTAAGATGGATATTAAATATATTAAATTAAATATATCCAAAATGTGTCTCTAAATGAAATATTTATATTCATATTGTTAGCATTCTAATTTCACAATACTATTCATGTGTACACCTGTGTGTTGGGTAAAATATCTTGTTACTATAAATTTTTTGGCTCTACGTTGAGAAAAAAATCATAGAAAGGCAAATTTGTTAAGGAATCAAACATATTAGCATGATCTTTGAGTATGTTTGTGCATGTATAATGCTACTTTGACTGCTATAGTAAAATAATCCAAATTTAGTCACCATAGCTGAGAATCCGAAAAAGCATTTGGAAGAATTTGGGTTGCTAATGATGCTATTAAAAGATTTTAATACCATGTATGTGTACACATGTGTGAAAAAATATTTTGATACTACACATTTTTTTAATATTAGAGAAAAATTCATAGAAAGATAATTCTGTTAAGGCTTAAAACATATGTAGTGTAACTACTTTGACTGCTTTAATAAAATCACCCAGATTTTGTGACCATAACTGACAATGTAAATAAGCAGTTTTGAGAATTTAACTTGTTAGTGATGCTATTAAAAGGTGAAATGAAGCTTATACACTCTATAATTGCACAGAGTATTTGTGTCAGTTCATATGAAAGTAGAACAAAATTAAACAGCCAAAAAGAGAGTATTCTTTACTAGAGGTCACTTTTGGCATAATTTTTAGAATGTGGTAAAAGAAAAGAAATAGCAAGTAAATCATTGGAAATATGTTGTTTCTGTGTTATTCCTGATGAAATGCTATGTGAGGGTATTTGTCTAGGCCTGATTCTGGGAATAATATATGAATCATGTCAGGCAAAGTGGCTCATGCCTGTAATCCCAGCACTCTAGGAGGCCAAGGCTGGTGGATCACCTGAGGTCAGGAGTTCCAGACCAGCCTTGCCAACATAGTGAAATTCCATCTCTACAAAAAATTTTTAAAAAATTGACGGGTGTGGTGGCAGCCACCTGTAATTCCAGCTACTTGGAGGCTGAGGCAGGAGAATTGTTTGAACCAGGGAGGCAGAGGTTGCAGTGGGCCGAGATTGTGCCATTGCACTCCAACCTGGGTGACAAGAGAGAAATTCTGTCTAAAAAAAAAAAAATGTGAATCTATGAGGAAGAATAATAGTGTTCTCCCACCACCATTAACTGTAGTGCTTTGAAAAGAAGACCAAAATCACATTTATTACATAACATTCTACCTTTTAGCTGACATCATCATCATTAGTATCATCATCTACATTTACATCTATCTTATTAAATGATTTATTTCTGAAATATTTACACACATAATTTAGGTAAAGTCTATGTAATTTCTAAGAGATATCATTGTAAGAAAGTTATATTAGTAAACAACAAAGTTCAAGTCAGGCCGAATACATTTAGATTTAGAAAGTTAAGTGTAGTGTAGTTTAAACTAGACTGCTTAAGGAAACAATTACAGATTATATTAAACTAATCCAAGTAACATTACAAAAAGGTTTTTATTTTAGTATAAATAAAATTGCTTAGTATGAAAAATAAATAAACCATTTCACAATCAAGCTCTAATTTATAAAGAGAGGATTTTAGGGCTAAATAAATCAAAGAGAAATCCCTCCCCCACATCTTCTCTATTTCATTAGGTAATGATGGAGTTCAAAGGCAGAGAGCCCCATTTCTACAACATAAGCAAAGTGAAAATTAATTCACTGACTACAACAATGTAGCTGTGGTTGGTGAAATATATTTTATCTATTGCAATGATATTTTGAGATTGAGTGCTGCTCATTGAGTTTGCCTGTGAGCAGAATTTGTGGTGAGGACCCAGCAACAGACAAGCTAGTATCCAAAAAAAGCTACTCACATCAACTTAATTTCCAATTTCTTTCAAATTGAAGGTAAATTCCAGAACAACATTTCTATTCTATTCTCTGACCAAAGTGTTGGGAAACAAAGAAAATTGTTACCATTTTCATTTCTAACATACTAAAACAAAACACAAAAACCCCCAAAAGTCAAAAGCACTTTTAAAAAGAACATGCTGTTAACAGTAGTTTGTTCAGTTTCCCCATAGAAAATGATTTATGGAAGGAGAATAAAAGATTAGTCCGAACACTAAAAGAATAAGACTGAAAAAAATGAATTATCAATATTGAGAATCCAATAGACAGAGTTAACCAGTTAGATGCAGCAGAAGAGATAATAAGTGAATTGGAAGATAGCTACAAAGAATGAAGCACAGAGAGTGAGATGGCAATATACAAAGCTAGAGGGTAACACATTGATGCTACAGTCAGAACACCTAACATACTTCTGGAGTTCTGTAAGATAAGAGGAGAGAAAATAGAGCAAGAGAAATGTTGCAAGGATTTTTCTAAAAGTGATAAAATGTATGCCTCCATTTATTTTTTGTAATCTCAAATGTCAGGCTTGATAACTAAAATCAACTTAACATAAAATAATACAGGACAGCAAAGACCAATAGAAAATCTGAAAAGTAGCTAGAGGTAGAAGATAATGTTGAAAAGAACTGCATTCTAAATACAACCTGATTTTAACAGAAAATATGGAAGCAGGAATTCAATGGAATCATGGGAATCATGTCTTCAGTGTATTTCCAAAGAATAGTAGACCTTCAAAAACAGAATTTGAAAGTAATATTTGTCAGATAAAATAAAATTACTGAAAATACAAAGTTAAACAGGCAAGGAACAATAAAAATTAATGACAATGAAAAATGTGTAATTCTAAATAAATATTGACTGAGTAAAACAATAGTGTCTTCTTGGATTGAATGTATAATTGATAAGATATATGCAAATAGGAATAAGAAGACTGGAGATAAAAGTGACAGGAATAAATTTAGTCAAACTATGTTTTGGGCTTTTTTATGTCTGTAAGGAGAATGTGAACATCATAATCAAGGACCCTGTAATTGCACACCCAGGTATATTATATGCAAAAGAATTGTAGCAAATGAAATGTGAAAGAATGCTCACTGTAGCATTATTCATAATAGCTCAGAAATAAACTGCCCAAATATATATCAAATAAGGATGGATAAATAATTACAGTAAAATCATAAAATGAAAAATTATACAGAAGCAAAAAGAAATGGATCACATGTACATGCAACTATGGAGTTAAATTTCAGATATATAATATTGATTCCAGGAAGCCATGAATAAGAACATATAGGATAGTACCTATACACAGTTCAAAGCAGGACAAACCGAGCTATTGAGTTTAGGGTCATATTCCTTGTTGGTAAAGTATAAAGAAAATTTTTAAAAGATCATCATAAATTATGGATGTTGCTTATCACAGGAGATGTGAAGAAAGGTGTAGGGACTTGGAAAGTGGCATTGAGGTAAACTTAGGCTCTTAGCAATGTTCCATGTTTAGCCCTACATGATGGTTACATGAGTGTTTATGACACATTGCTATGTTTTCCTTTTGGCTAATTTCTAAGTGTGCAGTCTAGTTATAATATAAAAATTATTAATTAGAAGAAATGTTCTGTGAAAATTATTATTACTCTGCTCATTATACACTGAAGGAAAAAATTCACTATTTGTATACATTTATGTATAACTCTAAGAGATTTTAAGTAGAAACTTTCTGATTTTAGTTACAACTTTCTGAAAGTTGACATGATGTTACCTGCCAACCACAGATTTTTCAATAGGCTTTTCTTTTAGGCTTAATTATCCACTTCATGTGACAAAATTTTGACATTCTCAGTCTGTTTTTCCCTTGAATCCTGAATTCCTGACACAACAAGGGTGGACATGTTTCCCACACTCTTGGTTTAGCAGAAGGCCTATATCAGTTACGTTTTTCTGCAAGAGAAAATCCTCCAAAACTGCTTTAGATGTTTGTACCTCACACGTCTTCGGATTTCATTTTTCTAAGCTAGGTTTGGTGGATGGCTCTGGTTACTGGAGATGGGTCATGTACTGCATCTTGAAGCTAGTTCAGCTGATTTAGGCTAGAAAAGGCACTGGCATTCTGACTCCATTAGTTTCTCATTCTTCTTCTGGGAACAGTGTACTAGCCAAATGATGTCCTCATGGTAAACGGAAAACAGCGAGAAACTCCAGTATGGAAGCCGTCTTAAATCTCTGTGTAAAGTCTACTAATTTCCTGATGACTAAAGCAAATTACAGGAGGGAATGCAGAGTCCAAGGTCAAGGTAGTCACCCTGCCTGTGGTGGGAGGGTAGTGCAAGGTTATATGACAAAGTGTAGGGTACTTTGAAATATTTACAAAATTACTGAACATTTTAATTAAATAATTAATATTTAAACAAAACAGAGTTGAGTGTAATTATACCAAAGACCTAAGCATGAGAAACATGCTTGATAAATATTATTCATTGTCTGACAGCCGTGAGTGGGAAAATAGGACTAATTCCACCTGGATGATCTCCCGGAAACTCGTTTTCCATTTGGGGAATTATAAGAAAATAATTCTTTCCATCCCCTAAGGGTGTGAGTGTATGTGCATCTATATGTTTATGAGTTTATTAATAATGGTGTCATATAAATTTATTGGTTATCAGAAACCAGATTTTAAGTTGTATTGGCCTCCCAGGGCTTTCCAAGATAACCTTAGATGATTTTGATAAAAGGTTTAGAATCTGGTATTTAAGTCTGGCATAAAAATAAATCCATATTGGTATGATCCTGGTTATGACCAAACTCCTTTAATGATTTAGACATTTACTGTATGATATATGTATGTGGTTTTAAAATTTCCCTATGAAACAACTGAAGATGCTGCATACAAATTATGGAGAGGTTAAACAAGGCAAAAAAATTGCAAAACATTGAAAAAGAATATGCCTTTATTTGCATACTGACACATGAAAATTCACTTTCCACTTCAACATCAGTATAAAAAATTCAGCATGTAGCAGGGACACATAGTATATTAAGAGGAGTGAATTTCAGTTGTTTTGAGAATAACAATATTTTCTATTTCTATAAAGACAGCTTTGAACTCATCCATTAGTATATGCTGGTGCTTTCCTGTTGACATTAGTCACAGAATTTAAAGGCCCAATGTTATTGCACAGTTAGTAATCAAGTATTTATTGAAGTTAAAGTCTGGATATTAAAGGAATCAGAACCAGTGTTATTAAGCCTGCAATTTTTTTTGGTCTAACATCTAACATGATGTATTTTCTGTTCATCATTTTATCAATTCTGTTAGTGTTTGCATTTGTTCTTGGAAATTTTGCCAATGGCTTCATAGCTCTAGTAAATGTCATTGACTGGGTTAAGACGCGAAAGATTTCCTTAGTTGACCAAATTCTCACTGCTCTCGTGATCTACAGAATTGGTTTACTCTGGGCCATATTATTATATTGGTATGCAACTGTGTTTAATTCGGCTTTACGTAGTTCAGCAGTAAGAATTTTTGCTTCTAATATCTCGGCAATAATCAACCATTTCAGCATCTGGCTTGCTGCTAGTCTCAGCATATTTTATTTGCTCAAGATTGCCAATTTCTCCAACCTTATTTTTCTCCACCTACAGAAGAGAATTAAGAGTGTTGTTCGAGTGATGCTGTTGGGGCCCTTGGTATTTTTGATTTGTAATCTTGCTGTGGTAACCATGGATGAGGGTGTGTGGACAAAAGAATACGAAGGAAATGTGACTTGGAAGATCAAGTTGAAGAATACAATACACCTTTCAAACTTGACTCTAAGCACGCTAGCAAACCTCATACCCTTCACTCTGACCCTAATATGTTTTCTGCTGTTAATCTGTTCTCTGTGTAAACACCTCAAGAAGATGCAGCTCCATGGCAAAGGTTCTCAAGATCTCAGCACCAAGGTCCACATAAAATCTCTGCAAACTGTGATCTCCTTCCTCATGTTGTTTGCCATTTACTTTCTGTGTCTAATCACTTTAACCTGGAGTCCTTGGAAACAGCAGAGCAAACTTGTATTCCTGCTTTGCCAAACTCTTGCAATCGTGTATCCTTCATTCCACTCATTCATCCTGATTATGGAAAATAGGAAACTAAAACAGATCTTTCTTTCAGTTTTGTGGCAGGTGACACGCTGAGTGAAAGGACAGAAACCCTCAACTCCATAGATTCACAAGGGGAGCATCATGTGTCTTCTAGCAGTAAACAAACTGACGGTGTGTGGAACATTTTATATTTCTATTGATTGTTCCATAGTGTATGTATTTGAGTAATTAAAAAAAAAATACCTAGAAAAGTCTTACATATATATATGGGTGTATATGTGTGCATGTATAAATAACAACATTGACCATAAATTATGAAGCTGAGTATATTTCACATGTATATTGTATGTATATTTTATTATAGCTCATTGTATAATATTTCCTTTGAAGAAATTATTATTATTTATAATTAGGAACTTACAGCTTTTATCAGGAAATTAATGCTGTTTTCCACTGTAATTTGTACCACATATATGTACTTAACTATCATTGGTGAACCCCTAATTTTTTGGATGGTAAAGACATGCAATTCTAAATCAATGATGAGAATGTATCTTTGGGGTAGGTTTTATTTCATTAGGAAATCTGATTTTATGTTTAGTAGAAAGCAAATTGTTAGCTAATGATGCACACAACAAAATTTGAGTGAGAAACATATGTAGAGTAAGTTTTGTACATGTATACCAAAAACAGTACGGAAGAATACTAGATTTAATACCAGTATGTGAATAGCCTAGAATAAAAATCATTTTTATAATAGGAGTGAAGAAATATGATGATGATCATTTCAGTGCTGTTATAATTTTTTTATGTGAGAAAAGTCATTTCTTCCACTTTTTGAATTTAAGGATACCTTTTTTGAAGTTGACATCTGATGTAAAGTATTTCCATTTATTCTTCTTAGCCACCTCTGAGCCCCTGAATTTCCAATTTTCTCCTTTGTCCCCCATTCCTAATATTCCTCAAAAAAACTCAAATATTCTCTATCTTATAAAGGCCCAACCAAAAGAGAGTATAGAAACTATAGATGATAATTGAATGAAACTTTCTTCAAATGTTAAATGTTAAACTTTCTTTAAATGTTAAAAATATATGAAATCCATATATTGATTATAGGCAATGTATTAATGATTTGTTTTATTATAATTGTTTAAATGGTGAAATAACACAAAGTGTGTTGACGTATCTATTGATACCAAGTACTATCATAAGAAGGAAATATACAGCCTTGTTGAACAACTAAATTCTGTGTGACTGTTAATTCTTGGTGTCATGACATTTTAACATTATTATGTAAAACTTAAAATAAGTCAACTCCACATCTGAGATATATATCTATATATCTATATATATATATACACACACACACACACATTTTGTTTATCATACATCTTCCCTAGTACAATGTAATCACCATAAAAAGAGAGGTCATATCTGTCTTGCTTTCTCTTGACTCCCAGGACCAAAAAGCCAGCACAAATCAGATCCACATATATATGCATCAGATCCACATCTGATATGTGTGTGTATGTGTGTGTGTATATATATATATATTTTTTGTATATCTATCTATCTATCTATACACACACACATTTTGTTTATCATACATCTTTCCCTCAGGAGACATTCAAGGAAATCTGAGAAAGCACATGTTTGTGTATAATACAGTCCCCTCCTTGTGCCACTCAGATGTGCTGATGCCCTCCAATTGTGGCTGGATTTACAAGCATATGACTTGCGCAGTTGCAAAGCATCTTGTGTTTGAGGGGCTTTTTGGTTGGATTAATGCTCTGTACTTATATTTTGCTTTTCAGACAGCGGATACTCCTCTGCTGAAGAGGGAATAGTTCTGCACTAATTCCCTAGGTATTTGCTTTCTCTTCTCCTACGGGCTTGATGGAGACATGCACAGAATCCTGTAATGCCCACAATGCATGCCTCTAGCAGCTTTGAATTCTGCTGGATCATCTGACACAATGGGCAGAGCAGGTTGGGCCAGAGCCTATATCTGCTGTAGAGATATCTCGTGTTCTGGATTTCACTTGAAACCAGTAATCTTTGCATTCATTCTGTAACCCATCTCGTTTTGTCAGAGGCTAGGTAGGTTAAGTGAATAGGGATATAAAAAGACTTTATTAACATGTCGGAGCCATATCCTCTACTGTGGTGTTTGTGGACACCAAAACCCCAAGAGGCTCGATAAACACTGTGCTTCTCTTTTAGTCGTAGGAAGTATATATAAGGCAACAGACCACTTACTTTAAAAAGGATGTTTCTGTTGGTCATGGTGGCTCATGCCTGTAATCCCAGCACTTTGGGAGAACAAGGTGGGCAGATCACTTGGGGCCGTGAGTTTGAGATCAGTCTGGGCAACATGGTGAAACCCCATCTTTACTTAAATTTAAAAAAAAAAAAAAATTGCCAGGCATGGTAGCAAAAGCCTGTAAACACAGCTACTCAGGAAGTTGAAGGATTTGAACTGATTGAACCCAGGAGGCGAAGGTTGCAGTGAGCCAAGATTGCTCCGGTGCATTCCAGCCTGGGTAACAGAGGGAGACTCTGTCTCAAAAATAAATAAATAAATAAATGGATTTTTTGGCATGTGGACCAGGAGTATGGGACTCCTAAAACAAAATCTGTGTTTCAGGTCTCTAAATATTGTCAGATGTATCTCTCTCTTCTGGTGTTTTATTTCTATTTAATGTTCAAGTATTTTACTATAGGGAACGTTCCATTTCCTGGTTATTGCACCAATTACCATAACTTTATTAATATAATAACATGATGTTTTGCAAAATGTAAATTAAAGTGAGAGCAGAAGTGGCATCGCTTTGACATAAAACAGTGAAGCAGCACTTTTATTCTTAACACACAAAGGCCAATCGTTATAATCTCCTGACCCACCCATGGGTGTAAAATAAGAAATATTCACTAGATCAAGAGCCACATGCAAACCGCCAGAAGCTCTGCTCTGCTCAGGGAAGATACCACATCCTAGAGAGCATTTGTAAATAGTGATTTAAATTTATGGAACTCTGACCTCATTTTATAATGTATCTGATTTTGGTAGAGGTCAGTTAGGTAGGCGGATAGGGATATAAAAAGACTACCATCCCCTGTGACAAAACTTTCAAGTGTTTTGTCACTGTAGTGATCAATTCCATTCCTTGGAGAATGTGATTATTATTTTTCAATCATTGTTGCAGTGCAGAATTTCACAGGTTTCCCCTTGGTCTTGCTCTAATAATGTCCCTTACTGTACAGGTCAGGAAGAAAGTGAGAACCCTGCCAGATGCCATGTGTGTCCATTTCAATTACACCTTCAGGAAGAGGTAATAACGGAAAACTGATTAGATGCCCCTTGGGATGGACATGAGCCAAAACTCTAAGTAGCATCTGACCTTCGAAAACTCCCATTGCAGGGTGGGTATGATGACTCATGCCTGCAATTCCCACACGTTGGGAGGCACAGTTGGGAATATCTCTTGATGCCAGGAGTTTCAGACCACCCTGGGCTACATGATGGTGAGAGCCTGTCTCTACAAAAACTGAAAAAAAAAAAAAAAAAAGAAAAAAAAAGAAAGAAAAGAAAAAGAAAAAACAACAACGAAAATTATTTTGGCATGGTGGTGCTCACCTGTAGTCCCAGTTACCGCAGAAGGCTGAGGCAGGAGACTCCCTTGAACTTATAACCAATATGCAGGTCAGTTGCTGGCTGCATCCAGAGTCCAGTTAACAAGAGTGAGGCCTGGTACAAAAGTAATAAATTTTTTCCAAACCTAGCTTGGGGAAGGGGCACGAGGAGTCCTGCCTTTAAGTGTGCCACTTCACCTTTGGAACAGAAAGCAGACACTTTTATAAGGTAAGGGGGGATATTAAGCAAGGGTAGAGGGGCCTCCTGCAAGCTTGGTGCCTTATCTACCATGCGGGGGGTCTGTCCTGCAGACCCTGACTCAATGACAGAGGAATAACAAACACTGACACATATAGTTGGCTTGTCAGTTCGGCCCAGCCTCCTGGCCACTTACAGACTCTAAGGAGAGTGCTGTCAGTCTTGGCCCAGACTTGCTGGCCTTTCTTGGCATTTGTTTAGCACACATTAAATGACAAAAGCTTTGAGTCAACACAATTAGAGGGTAATCAACCTGGTCACCTTTCTGCAAGAGAGCAATACTGCCTGTGCGTGATGAAAGGTTAGTTTTAGGCTTTGTATCTGTGTCCTAAGTTCTCTGGCTCCTGCAAAGAGACTCTGGTTGCCTTCAGCCAAGCTATCTGAAGCTATGCAACAACTTCTTGGTCTTCCAAGAAGGTTTTTGTTTTATTTTATAATTTTCCCTACCATTCTGACTGAACCCCTACACCACCAGGTAGTTGAATTGGTGCCTTCTTTTGCAGAAATACATTACAAAAGTGGCCAAGTGGGTATGGTTTTCATATGCCCTCCTGTTGGATGAAAGTCCTCAGGCAATTCCTAGAGTGGAGCAGAGCCTGGAATTTCCAGCTCCACTTCCTGGAGGTAAAAGTTCTGTGGTGGGTGTGCTTTGGTTTGCAAACTGACTGTCAATTCTCAGGGGAGATCTGTCTTGGAGCACATAGTTAGAGAAATGTGCCCTGCAGGGAATGTCCAGTGAGTGGGGGTGAAAGGTTACATTTGCGTTTATGAAGGGCTAAGCAGGATACAGGGAACAAAGGGAAGGAGGAGAGAAGAGAAGATAAAATAATAATAAAAAATAGTAACTCATACTCTTTTTCTTAGAAAAAAATGGGGCAATCTGTTACAAACCCAGTCTTTACTGAGTAAAATCATTACTGAAGGCCGTACTGAGTAATGATCATGCCACTGTACTACATACAGCCTGGGTGACGGATTGAGACTGAGTCTCTGAAAAAACCCAGATGCAAATAACACAAAAAACAAAAGAAAATTAAAAAGAAAATCTCCCACTCAATCTCATGGACCACAGTGTCTTTTGGGTACTCAGATATTAGTGTTAGTTCAGGCTCTGCTGGGGGGGCCAATATCTGGTTTACTGGTGGCAATTTCATATGAGTCTGCAGCAACCTCAAGTCTTGCCTCCTCAGAAGAAGGAATTCAACTGAGGGACATAAGTCAGAAGAGACTGAAGGAAGTTTCTGAGGAGGAATGGAAGTTTATTAAAAAGAGAACAGGAAAGAAAGGAAAGCACACTTGGAAGAGACCACAGTGGGCACTTTCGAGGTCAAGTGCAGTGTCAGGCCTTTTGACTTGGGGTTTTATATATTGGTATACCTCTGGGGTCTTGTGTTCCTTTTCCCACGATTCTTCCCTTAGGGTCTTGTGTTCCTTTTTCCATGATTCAGCCTCTTAGGGTGGGCTGCTCACATTCGTGTTGGCCTGCTAACACTTGAGGGGTGAGCATGCACAGTGTGTTTACTGGAGTTGTACACATGCTTGCCTGAGGCATTCTTCCCGTTTTTGGTGGAATGCCCAAAGAAGGTCATATTCCACCATTTTCTCTCTCAACACACATGCGTCAGCCTACTCGCCCTGTTCCTGAGCTGCTGACTACCAATTTTAAGCACTTTTATTTATTGTGAAATTGTCTCTCTCTGGTGCCTGTGACCAATTATTATTTTTAGAGAGGCAGTGTGACAACTGCCAGGCCATCA